GGCAGCGGAAGGAACACGAAGCCAGTCAACCTCCCAAAGGCCCTCTGACTCATGGCGCCGGGGGCCAGCACCAACCAAAGCCTTGGTGCGTCGATCCTGAATGGAGCAAGAGTCAGTATCAAGGATGACACGACAACCAGAATCAGTAAGTTGGGCAGCGGAAAACAGATTCATGGTAAGATGAGGAACATGTGAAACACTGGAAACAGAAAAAGAGGGAGTGGAAAGAAGACCACGACTAGCAACAGGAAGAGGTGTGCCATCGGCGGTAAGAACATTAACAGGCGAAGTAAGAGGTCGGAGAGAAGACAACATAGAAGAATCTGAAGACATATGGAAGGAGGCTCTAGAATCCAAAACCCACGAAGATGTACCTGACTGTGTAGATGCCTGCGGTTGTGGAGAAATGGCTGCAGTCACAGCAGCAGCTGAGCCAGTCGACGAAGAGCCTGAGGAAGCCAGGAGGCGTTTGAGCCTCACAATGTCCTGGTCAGTGAGTGACGAAGTCGAGGAGGATTCAGGAGTCCCACTGGAAGAGGAGCGTCGCTGGTCTCGCTTCTTCTCATGGCAATCAGACTCTGGGTGACCGGGCCGAGAGCAGTAGCCACAGAAGGTGTCACGGCGCGACCGGCCCCTCTCAGTATAAGTAGGACGACTCACCCCCCTGAAGGTGTGGGGAGGAGCGGTGGATCGGTGAGCCGAGCAGATGAAATAGGAGCCCGAGCAGCCAACACAAACGGGACCACCAGCAAACCAGCAGAGCGAAGACGGGTCTCCTCAGCATGAAGCTCAGCAAGCACCTCCGAGATTGGAACACGACCACGAGCAAGCAAGTGAGCATGTTTGGACTCAAATTCAGAGCAGAGACAAGATAAGAACTCATGGACCCGCTGAAACTCCAGATCAGACCGAGTAGTCTGACAGCAACGACAGGTGCCACAAACAACTGTCCGAAGAGAGTCAAGCTGACACCAGATGGCACAGCACTGTGAATAGAACTCATCAACAGAGGAATCACTTTGCTGAAGGGCGTGCTCCTGACGCACCACAGAGAGATAGAGAGCATCACCAGAGGGCTGATAGCGCTGACAAAGATAAGACCACATCGCTGCAACTGTGCCAAGTCCCATGAACTCCGAAACAAACTGAGGGAGGACACTGGCAGTAAGAACAGCAGCAGCACGAGCATCATCATTGCACCACTGAGTGTAAGCTGTTAGATCATCCCGGTACACAGAGAGAGCATCGGAATAAGCGGATACCTACTGATCATAAGCATCAACCGCAGCATCATCCAGAGCCTTGGCAGCATCCCGGTCAGCTGAGAAGCATCATCAGCAAGAACCGGCGGCACTGGTGGGATTGGGACCACTGGCGCAACCGGGCATGACGGACAGGGGACCTCGCCAGAGAGAACACCCCACAGAAGAAGACCACGCATATGGATACGCATCAAGCCCACAAACTCAGCATAGTTGGTGCCATCGAAGATCACCGAGCACCGAGGAACAGCGACATAGCCCGAAGAAAACATGAAGAAGTCTTCCTACTGCTCCTCTGCTTTCCTCGGTTTTTTTTGGTCAACCGATGCAGAAGACCAGATCAGGATCGGGCAAGAACGCGCTCGAGCTAGGCGCTCAAGCTAGGCGCCCGAGCAGGAAGCGCAGCCCGCGCGAGCAGAGAGCAGCATTGGCGAGGACTGGGCAGAGTCGTTGGCGGCTCCTGGCCGAGACCAGCCAGGCGAGTAGCTGACGGCTGCAGCCGTTCGGACCGGGAGCAGCAGCGGACCGGGGACGGCGACAACCGGACTGGCCTGGATCAGCGGCAGTCGGACAGGGAGAGGACGGAGTGGAGCGCGACGGCCGGAGAGGAGGACTTGGCCAGAGAGGAAGGCCGGCGGGAGCGGAATCAGGCGGCTGGGCGGCGTGGCCGGGCGGGGCCAAGGAGGAGACGGGCAGAGATGGTCGGCGGCAGGCGGAGGCTAGATACGGGATGCACGGAGCTGCGGCGTGCGGGAGAGGGAGGCTAACCTAGCATCTGATACCATGTTAGATAATGAGCAACTAGCTTTACTGAGGGCCCATGACTAGTACATATACAGATGTGCTAAAGTGCAGAAAAGCCCTTTATTCAATGAGGATGAACACAATAAACTATACACATCTAACAGCTTCAAGTTCTACAACCTCCCACCTGCCACCTGCCTCAGCTTAATGTCACCTTCGTTTATAATTTGCGATGGACGCGAGTGTTCATCAGCATCCAATATCTCAGAGCGTATAAACCAAAGTGAGATAGCTGAGGTAAGGAAAAATGATAACGCTGGTGTTTTCTCGTCCCTGGCAGACCTAGTGATTGATAACTGCCCAAATCTATCATGCCTCAAACATGTTAAACATGTACCGGCCATCAAGAAAATCACAATTACAAATTGCAAGAACTTAGTTTCAGTACCAGCTGAAATATCTGTGGATCTCAGTTGCCTTGAAGAACTGACAATGCAGCGATGTCCAAAAATATATTCCCAAGGTTTGGTTGCACCTTCTCTCAAGAGGCTTGTGCTGAGTACGAGGAGTGTTGATCTTGGTCGTGGCAATCTCGGAGACAATATCAACTGTTGCTCCGTCACCTACTCTTTTTTTGTCATGGAGCCGTCCCACATCCATCCAACTAGAAATGTGGAATCTTCCAGCACTAGAGGAGTTGGAATTTTGAAATTGTAATTTTCTTAAATCTATCATTGGACAATCTGGACAGATCCTCAGAAATACGGGGGGATCTAAAGCATTCCCTAATTTCATTCATTGTCATAAATTTGAATGACTGATGTCTTTTGAACCAAATCTTCATTTTAGAACTTTTTATATGTATTTGAATTCGTAGTGAGAACACCTTAGAACAAGATCAATCTTGGGTATATTTAAACTATTTTTATTGTTTTATTGTTTCGATTAGCAAGCTCAACCTCTGGGTATCTACGAGGCCCTCTGAGGCGTCTGTGAGGCCATTCTGGGCCGGGACGGCAATCACCTTGGTTCAGACGCACGTTCGGCCGGTTTCCTCCTTGCACACTAGGTGTTCGAGGATTTGCCTAGAAGGTGGAGTTCTCGTCGAGGAGTGGTGAGCATGGCATGGGCAAAAAGACCACTAGTTTTATCCCTATGTTTCATGTCATGTGTGATGAGTTTTTATGTATGATGTGGATTGATGAAATAGTAGTAATTTGATGTTGTGGATTGATGAATCTGATGTCATGTTTATATTATTTGTGTTAAATTTCAATTGTAGTGCCCTATTTTTTGAGAGAACGTCGGTCTTTATTGATCAAGCAACAAAGTTACATAGAGTCTCCCGGATACAATCCGGAGCAGAATGGAAAATATAAAGACTTACAGAGTTCAAACTAGATCTAGCTAAAACATGAGCTAAAACATTACATTGCCGACGAACATGCTTGAAAGTCACAGAAGACAGAGCCCCACACGTCGTCTTGATATCAGCGATTATAGAACCCACAATGGAGCGGCCTCGTGCAGAAGAGTGCAGCCTTTGCATCACCTAGAGACAATCGGATTGGAAAATCACATGCATATAGTTCTCTTGGCGAGCCAAATAAACTGCACGACGAAGAGCCATCGCCTCTGCCACTTCCGAGGATGAAACACCCGGCAAGGGTTCTGAAGCAGCGGCAACACACTGCCCGAATGGTCTTGAATCACCACGTCAATTGCTGAGGAGCCCCGGTCCAAAGAAACAGATGCGTCTGAAGACACCAACAAAGAACCATGCGGTGGCGGAGACCAATGAGAGCTAGAAGCAGGGGTCTCACGTCTAGCCGCATGAGTTTTGAACAGATGTTGGAAGATCAAATCAATGTAAGCACGCGCCCTCGCAGCCGTATGCTTCGGGAGAGGAGCAACGGGTTCATTACGAGCAAAATTCCGAGCCTCCCAAATGTGCCAAAGAGTGATACTCAGAATAGAGACATCTCGATCAGAACCGTAGGATAGGAAATTGAAAAGCCATTGCTTTGGAGATGTAAAGGATGAACGATATAGCTTGATCCCAAAAACATCCTTAATCTCCTCCCAGATAGCACGGGCATGTCCACAAAAAAGCAAAGCATGCTCAATACCTTCCGATCCGCCACAGGAATAACAGTCAGTCCTCGTTGGCACCTGGAGGCGGAGAAGTTGCTCTCCCGAGGGTAGACAATTATGAGCAAAACGCCAAAGCATCACTTTCATCTTATTTGGAGCCTTAATATTCCAAAGCTTCTTCCATAACTTTTCTTCCAAAGACTAACTGGAGTGTTGCCCCCCACCATTTCCACTCCGATCAGACAAGAATTGGTTCGTCCTTGCCATGTTATAAGCGGAACGGACAATATATTCACCGAACCTAGTGAAAGGCCAATGCACAAAATCTGGACCGCCTGTCAAGTTTATTGGAATTTTAAGAATATCATTGTAGTGCCCTATTTTAGGTCACTGTATGAGAGATAAAATCTAATGCCCTAAAACTCACCTTTTGGTGTCTTCAATGCCCTATTTTAGGACAACCTCTGGAGATGCTCACACATTCACGACACCTTGATAATGAGGCACTCAACAAAACATACGCTTTATTTGACAGTTCCGTGGATATGAGAATCTCAACCTAGAGTTACATCTTGGTACAGTAGTGACACAAGAAATATATCTATATCTATACATCTATACAAATATAAAAATGCCTAAAGGTGCAGATCCAACAAATCCCGGCTATCAAACCAGTTCAATCCAACGACTCTGACTGCTCCAATGGTGAGCGCTCAACACGTTTAGCATGCGGTTAATATCATACCGAATATCAATGCCATGCTAATTTCATAATTAACACGCAAATAATATCCTACCTAATATCAGCGTGCGATTAATATACTACATAATAACAACGTGCAATGCACGTACGCATTTACTAGTCCAAGGAAACATCGGAAGATCGATGAGCTCAAGTCATCACTTTGTAAGTTGATTCTCCATGGGGCTTTCGTTGCTGCATGCAGCCACGGTGATTGTCATATCAAGGTTGCTTGCTTTGGTAATGGTGGTGGTAGTAAACGGTAGCTCAAAAGAGTTGTGCTTTTCAAAATTGTCATTGCGCTCAACTTGATTCACATGGTCTTTGCTCTTGCCCCAGATGAGAGCATAGAGACCAACAACAATAATCATTGCACCGGTGATCCTACATGGAAACAAATTTGTGAATGGATGAATAACAGATACAACCTCCGATCCAAAATAAGTGTCGCGGTTTTAGTGGACGTGCAGCCACCAATTGATGCGGATGCAGGAGAATATATGTTTCGCAAGTGAAGCATATACATACCTTCCCAATGTGATCACCTCGGAAAGAATGAAGGAGCCTAGCACAGTCACTATGATCATGCAGAGAGGGCAAAAGGCAGTGACAAACACTGGCCCCCGTTCTTGGATAACTATCCCTTGCAAATAATAAGCAACCCCTGAACACATTATGCCCTGAAATGAAATTAGTTAAGCAGCGAGTTAGTCATTGGAACCATCCACGGAAGCAAGTCTGATTTCAAATTGGTCACAACTAATTACGGAGTAGGCGGCCGTGACGAGCCTCATGTCGAATCCAATTGCCCAAGCCTTGGTGTCACGCTCCATCACCAGCGCAACCACGCCGCTCTGCACGACGCCCATGACGCATATCATCGTGGTCAGGGAGAGCTCGGACGGGTAACTCCTCAACGTGTGCGACTGAAGATCGCAAACAAAATCGATGGTCACCACAAATACATCGGGATGCAGTTGGAACAGAAACTAATTTAAGAAGAGTGTGAACTCACCTGGAGTATGAAGAAGGCGGACCAGCAGAAGCTGCTCAACAGGATCATGACGATGCCCAAGAGCCAGCAACCGCTGCTGTGGTTGGCCGTGTCGGCAACGACGTGGCTTCCGGCATGCTTGGTCCATGGGAAGTTGAGGACAGGGCCGCGGAAGAGTACCATGAGCAGCGCTCCGCCGACTGTGATCACCGTGCCGGCGATCTTCGCCTGGCTCCGCCGCTCCTTGATGTTTATTCTCTCCATCCTACATTGTTGACCAATTTATTTCATTACCTACTTAATAAAATAGAAGCTCTTCAAACACGAAAAATGTAAAAGAGAGGATCGCTCTACTGTTAATAATATATCGGTTTGGGTCGGAGCTTCACCTGATCAGGATGGCATTTACAAATGTTACGGCAGGCAATACGTTGGTGAGTGCCGAAGAGAAGCTCGCCGACGTGTTACGGGCTCCTATGTAGAAGAAGTTCTGGTCAAGGACTGGCCTTGAATAATTTTAACAAGTATAAATGTAAGAATGCATCAAATAATGAAATCACAAAAATACTACTATCATGCAACAAGTGTGTGTTGGATCCTTACTCGAGTAGTGCCAGAGCAACGATCTTGTAGAACAGGGAGAGGGTCATTTTGCGCCTTGTTTTCCTGTCACGCCAAATGAAGAGTAGACATGAAGTCGCTTTCCTTACTTGGTTTATCAAGGAAAAACTTGACGACAACGGGCAAAGAGAAGTGCTAGCGTTATTTCAGACGTTTCTGAATGCTCAGCAGCGGTTGCTCAGTTTTTCGATCAAGAAAGATCTTATTAACTCATAAGGTAGCACCAAAAGTCTACAAAAAGATAATGCATAAAATGAACATGAGCCTTTTTCTTTATCTTGTTACAGATCTCCGTTAGTTATTTCAAGGCCCAGTGTAATAAAAATTGTAAACATGAATTAGGTGATGACGACAAACATATCTGCTAAAAGGAATATGAGAAGACAGCAAAATAATGTAACTATGTGGATTACATTTCAGGAAACGTATTGTTGTTTCCTTTAATTCCGTGAAAACAAATAACAAGCTAATCTTAAACCTAGAACTTGTCCCATTTGAGGACATAAGAATATGAATGTAGCTCAACAACCAATTGATAAATTGCCACACCTACTTACCAAGTTCATTACTATACACATCTCGCAAAAAAAAAAAGTTACCATACACAACTTAGAGCATGAATTTTCATACTACTTCAAAAACTGAACTCTTAAAGGTACAACGAAACGAGTGACCAATTTGACATGGCCACAGGTTTTCTGACGGTGCAACGGCGGGCCGGGCGCCACCCTGACATGAGCACGGCTGACCACGAACAAAATACATTCTACACGAAGCCAGCTAGCTAGTATAAACGTCTAGACATATTAAACGACGATTAGGGATGATTCACAGATCCGTAATATGAACCTCTCAAACCATAGCGCGAAGGGAGCCATGGCAGCGGCGGCGATGGCGTTCCGGTAGACGACGAGGACGTAGTGGCTCATGCCCTGGCGCAGCGACGCGACGGAGAGGAGGAAGAGCCCGGCATAGCCGAACTGCAGGAAGACCATGGCCATGTAAGGCATCACCTTCCTCCAACTCCCGACGAGCTCCATGATCTGACCCTCTCAAGCTCCAGCTAAACTATACTGCCTCGATTCGACTCGACTCGCCTGACTATATGTGCAGCTGCTGATCAGGCAACGCTAGCCTGGTGCGCCTGCCTGCCTGCTTGGTGTGTTCTCATGCAATCCCGGCGGGGGCAAACTTATATAGACACTCAACTTGGCAGGCAACCTGCATGACTGCGTTGCCCCATACGTTACTTTACATATGTGAGTGACATGCTTTTTTTTTGAACAGGTGAGTGACATGCTGTTGAGTGGCCTGAATGTGTGTGTGTGTGTGTAACCTGTTGTGGCCCTTCTGCCCGGCCGACCATGGAGGATGGGACGACAACATCCTACTGCTGCTGCTCAGCCTCTGTCTCGGCCGTTTCACCTCCGCTTTCGCCGTCCTAGCCGAGGGACCAAAAAGAAGGGGATGAAGAGGCCTTGTGCTGCTGCATCGTCATGATGCTGTTGCTCCGCCTCCACGCTCGCCTAATGTGCCCCGGGTGAGTGAGTTGCGCAGGTTAGAGTTACATTTATTCCTAGATCTGCAATGACCATGTTCTGATCATCTTCATCAGGCCTGAGGACAGAGTTAGGTCAGACAGACTTGTTGCTGATCAGGAAGAGTTCTGATCACCTAGCTGTAACAAATTAGAGAGTTCCTTATTTAACGTTGTGTTAATTTTTTTCTCTATTTGACATCGAAAAATTATTTCTTTCATATATAACACCAAGTCTAAAAAAATACATGCGCAGCTGTCACTACAGGAAAATCACGTTTTGCCGTGTGAAAGACTATAAGCCGAGAGCTTTTTTTCGGGTATTCGGCTTATGTTCCTCTAAACTGAGTCTACAGGAAAAAAACACCCGGCAACTACAAAACACACGGCTTATGGCAGTCTATAAGTCGAGTGGTCCGGAAAAGCCCTTGGCTTACAATAAGCACGCACGGCATCTACTGTCTAAGATTGCTGTATGTGGCTACATAGCTGACTAGCTGCATGCAGATCTCTAGCTGTATGTGTGTATCCCGCCGGTTCGGCTGCTAGCTAGCTGCGTGACGCGTGCAGGCTGAGCTAAACCGGTCGGCTGGACGGATCAAGTTGGAACTTAGAGAATCAGTTAGTTTGTTAGTGTGTGCTTGCATGCATGCACAGGAGTTGTTAGACGCTCTTAGGGGTTGTTTGGATAGCGAATATTAACGATGGATTTGTACATATATTTCTTTACGGAGGAAGTATGTATTTGTGTGGCCGTTGAGGCAATGCTATGAAAGTGCTGTTAGTGGCCGTGCTTGTAGTTAAGGAGTAGTTAGTGGCCAGGTCATGCTGTTAGTGGCCGGCGGGGATAGATCAGGAGCGGGCGATTTGGGACAGATGGCCGGTTCATATTATACGAGGGGTAAAAGTGTTTTTTGTGTGCAATTTATGACAGTATTAAAAGAGTCAGGCATAAATTTTAGACTCGATACCAGATAGGGAAGAAAAAAAATTCAGTGTCAAATAATTAAGAAAACGAAATTCAACATTGTGTTAATAAGAAATTCTTTCAATAAATTCTCTTCTTTACATAAATTTGACTTTTGATTTCAAATGCTCTCCAGGACCCAACCGAAGAGCCCTGCATCTGTAGTGGGAGAACTCCCAAATGGCTGGTGATGTAGAAGCTTCTCGCTATGTCTGTTGTGTTCTGGTTTTTCCTTCACAATTCCGTGTATGTGTTGGGAAGCTAATTCAACTGGCTAAATTTTAATCCCGTCTATTCTTCCATGTTCCTCTAGCGCAAGGCACTACTGAATTTTTGTGAGCATAGCCTTTTGATTGAGTGACAAAAACGTTCTTAATAATGAAAACTGGTGAGCAGTTTGGTGCACACAACTTAGGTGCTGGGGGTGATAAGTGACCTCGCGCGGCGAACCCGCTGCCGGCCACTCCGGCCACGGTGGCCACCAAGAGCACTGGGTACGCCATGCCGGCAACCACTACGCCGGCGGGCGGCACCTTGGCCGCGGCTCCGGAAACCTCGCCCGCAGGGGAGGAGACAGGAATTGGACATAGAGGCAAGTTGAAAATATAAATTTTTGCAGCCGGCGAGCCACTATAAGCAACCTCCTTAACAATTATCTTTATGTATAGACTCTAAAAACTCAATTGTAAAATATTACACTGAAAATAGATCAACCAACTAATAAATTTAAATAGGAAATGCATAAAATCAATTAGCAGCAATGTTTATTGGTTTAATAAAGAAACATCTACTCCATCCGTTCTTAAATATAAGTCTTTTTAGATATTTCAATGTGGACTACATAAGGATGTATATAGACCATCATATACGGTTGAAATATCAGTGAGGGAGAATCCCGACTGTTGTCATGGAGGTCACTTCTTCTTTCCCTTGTGCTAGACCTTTAGGTAATGCACTCGGGAAAGAAGGGAGGAGCAACCATCACCGACGGTCGAAATATCAGAGAGGGAGTGCCCACCATATATGCCTTAGAGCTCAAATTGGAAAGGATTATGCAAGTCCTACGGATTTGAGGAGGGTATGAAAATAACCTTTGATATTGGCATTCCTCAAGATAAAGACATTTGGGTGGATCTGGGCATGATTTCAATTCTATCTCCGTGTGCGTTTGTTAACAAATTTGTTAAATAATAATCTATATTGCTTATCTAAAAATAGTTTTATTCATCCCTACTAAACTTGTTTTTTTTTATAATTGACAACTTATTTCCTTTCTTCCAAAGATACAGAAAAGATGATAGACGAGACCTACTACAGTTATGGCTCAGAGCTAACTTAGGAGGAAAAGAATTACCTTGTCTCGTTTGTTAATGATGTTCTGAATTTTAAGAACATTTATGGGGTTGGCCAAAATTATAGTGGATATGTGCCACTATACCACGAGTTGAGCGGTGGTATCATGCTAAGATTTTTTTATTATTGTGTTACTAGTCCATCTTTTTCATACAGTATTCTGAAGTAAACCACATTCTAACTATGTTACTATTATGTTCTTCAACATAATCTCCCGAATGATGTTGTGCATCTACTAATGTATGTCGAAGGTGAGATGACAATTGGTAGCTACACCCATGGATGAAGACTTCCGAATGTGCATACTCAATTTCTCAATTAGATGAGGGTCCCAAAATCAAAGGATGGAGAAAAATAGTGAATGAGCGCAGGAGACAAAATGGAGACCGGTGGATCTCTATGCTTCATAATGGAGAAGCAGGGTTTTTTTCTGTTTAATTTTATTTTACCTAAGAGAGACTAGTAGGTCCTAGTACTTGTCATGTGCTAGGAAGTTATTTACCTAGGATGATAACACTTAGCTAATAGTGGTTGACTTATGATGATCATAATGATGAGATTGTTATATTACTACGATGATGATGAGTTGTTATATCATTGTTATTGTATAAAAATTTGTGTAAGGGTGTATAAATACAACATAAATATGTAGAAATAAAATACGCAGGTATAGTAGTGGTGCAGGGTACGAGCCCGCGCTACTGATTGTTAGTAGTAGTGTGGGGCCTAGCATGTGCTACTGCTAAGAAAAGTAGTACCGCAGTGCGCTAGCAGTAGCGCAAGGCCCACACTACTGCTATGCTTTTATCCCTTGCACTACTAAGGTTTTTCCTAGTAGTGGATCGGCTAGGGAGGCTCTGAATATATAGTTTCCGGGGACGACGAACCTTGATCGACCATTTGTACATAGGTTCCATATTACAAAGAGGCATCAAGCATGATGATGATGGGACGATGGAGGATATTAAAGAGATACAAAACCAGAGAACATGAAGATGATTGAAGCCTACCAAAACACAGAAAACAAGGATGGAGCGACAAATGTAGCATGCCTGGGTGGAGCGATACCACTTAGGTGTTGAATAAAACAGGAACCTTTTGATTTGAGTGAAAGCTAACAACTAAGATTGAGTCGTGCCGGTTCAATTTCATCAGACTTAATGTTGGCCAGTAGATTTTATGAAGATATGAGAATCGAGAGCAAAAATGGATTAGGGTTTTGAGCGGGCGGTGATTTGTCACCGACAGGTGGACGGCAACATGGAAGTAGGTGACACAAGCTTTGAGGAAGTTGATGGCGATGATGTTTCAGTGGTCCTTGGGCTCTAGTGACTTCATGTTTGCGGTGCAACACGACAAAATGGCTCAATCCCCAACCGCAACGAGGCGGCTTTCTCCTGGTGGTGTCTTGCTCGAGTAGAGCTCGGGCAGTGTCGAACTTCTTAGGTGTGGCTTGGAATTCATGTTGGAAATATGCCCTAGAGGCAATAATAAAGTGGTTATTATTATATTTTCTTAATCATGATAAAGGTTTATTATTCATGTTAGAATTGTATTGACCGGAAACTTAAATACATGTGTGGATACATAAACAAATATCGTGTCCCTAGTAAGCCTCTACTAGACTAGCTCATTGATCAAAAGATGGTTAAGGTTTCCTGACCATAGACATGAGTTGTCATTTGATAACGGGATCACATCATTAGGAGAATGATGTGATGGACAAGATCCATCTGTTAACTTAGCATATGATCGTTTAGTTTATTGCTACTGCTTTCTTAATGTCAAATACATATTCCTTCGACCATGAGATCATGCAACTCCCGGGTACCGAAGGAATACCTTGTGTGCTATCAAACGTCACAACATAACTGGGTGATCATAAAGATGCTCTACAGGTATCTCCGAAGGTGTCTGTTGAGTTGGCGTGAATCAAGATTGGGATTTGTCACTCCGTATGACGGAAAGATATCTCTGGGCCCTATCGGTGATACAATATCACAAGAAGCTTGCAAGCAAAGTGACTAAGGAGTTAATTACGAGATGATGTATTACGGAACGAGTAAAGAGACTTGCCGGTAACGAGATTGAACTAGGTATGGAGATACCGAAGATCCAATCTCGGGCAAGTAACATACCGACAGAGAAAGGGAACTACGTATGTTGTCATAAAGGTTCAACCA